TAGAAAACAAAATTTTAAAAGTTTATTTTGTTACTCTTAATTATTCTATGATGATATTGTTTTATTATGATATGGAATTGTATTTTGAAGAATTATTAGTTTTTATTGTTCAATTATTGGAAATAAAAATTTAAAAGAAATTAAAAGTTTTTTTTACTATCTAAAGTTCATATTGAATAAAACAATGTTGAAAAATATGTAAATTAATGTTTTCACAAATTCATTGAAATATATTATTACAAGTAATTATTTTTCTAATAATAAAGGGAGATGATTATTTAATAATAATGGTAATACATAGAAATCACAGAGAAAAGAAAATTTAGATTTATTTATAAGGAATAATATAGAGAAAAAAGTGGTAAACATTGAACATTAATAAATCAGCTGATCTTAAAGTTATTGTAACAGAAGAGAGACAGAAATGTGAATTATTGAAAGATCTAATGCACTGTTTGTTAGATTTCTCAAAAATGTGTTTTTTAATAGGAGATTTTGAATTACATATAAAAAAATTCATTTTATGAATAAATTTTAATTTTTTTAATGAAGTCTCTTAATATTCCTTAGTAAAAATTTTGAATATATTTCATGTTTCTTATTGCAAAAAATATCTGAGTTGTAATAAGAAACATGATACATTATTTTATTAAGTAAAGGCATTTTTCAGTTCATGAATGAAAAAACAATCTAGTAAAGAAACTAGAGATTTTGAGAAAATGAGCATGAATGTCAATTTCATAAATTTGAAATTCCTGTTTAAATATTCCTTTGGGAAATATTAGTGATTTTGAAAGATATTTTTTCTTACTATAATTAGTGTTTTATTTTTTTAATTTTAAAATTGTAAAAAAGTGATTTGATATTAAAGGTAGGTGCACTGCAAGGTTTTAATAATTTAATCATTGTTAATTTTTTGATCTAATCTACAAAAGAAAAATTGAAATAGCATTTTTATCTATGAATTCTCTGACTTAATACATTTTAATATCTCTTATCAACACATTCCAGTAATGAATTTTGTATATTAATATTAATAAATATTACCGTTTATAGCCATATGTACTATATTAGAGAAACTACTAGAGATTCTCAATTGAATGATTTATTAACTATAGTTTAAATTTTTAACATTAATAAGTATAAAAATGCATAGCTATACAGTTGATAAACTGAATTTATTAAATCAACTAAACTACTACTGATTAAAATTTTTAGAAATTTAATTTACATTTAATGATAAGATAAAAATGCCAATTAAAATTTTTAAATTATTGAACTATAAGTAGTGTATACTTTGAAGACATTTTTAGAATATAAAATGAACTGATCACTATAGCAATTTCGGTTTCTCAGTATCTTGAATTTGAAATCTAATGGCAGTGAAATAAAAGCACTGTCACTGAAAGTGTGATTACAACAAAAACAGAATATTTTTACAGTTGCTTGATTTTTTTTTTATTCTAAATGCATTAATTCCAGAACTCTCTTTCTGATAAATACAAGATATGTTTTCTTTTTATTATCATATTTAATAATTAAATAAAACAAAATAATATAAAACAAGTACACAATCTATATCATTTAAAATTTAATAATAAATTATTCAATGGGATCTGTTATTTAGTTAAAATTAATAAAAATAATTACATTTCTAAAAATTAAAAAAAAAGTTAAAATATAGAATACAATCTCCAAGCTAAAATACTCAATCAGCACCGATTCTGAGGTGAGGAATTATAACTTGAAACAGTTCACAATAAAAATATATTTGTTTTACTTTTTTCTTATCCATATGCATTTTGCTTTCATTATCATCCTCGTTAAATTATACATTTATAATTTAACACTTGTATGTTAAAAGTTTTTCGTAACAAATGATTAGCGTGCAGTCTATCACTATATTATAGATATTATCATCCTCATCAGTGGATAACAATGCTCATTTTACATTGGTGCTTTTATACTGTACAAAGCTATCCCAGCATGCATGTAATGACATTCTATTATTTAAATATATGTTGTTTGCATATTTTAGTATACTGAAGTGTTCTTTAATTTGATGTTTTATTACATTATTTTCTTTATACAATATTTTTATATTATTTCTATTAATTTTAGTTATATTTATTACATGGTTGGAACCAAGGAGATTCTTTATTGTTTAAATTAATCATATTGCTGCTTCATGTTCTTTTAGTCTTTTTTCCAGTTTCCTGTTTTGTTTTACCTATGTAGCACTTTAGTTGAGAATATGTACATGAGTTTATACACTACATCTGCTACGTCCAGTTGTTGATTTTTTTTCTTTATTATAAATGAAATTTAATGAGTTTGATAACCTGTTTTTTGAGATGGGATGATAAGTGTAGAAAGATCATTAAATTTATTTTTATGTTTTTCATAAAAACTATTTATATAAGGAAAGAGGACATATCATTAAGTTATTTTCTTATTCTTTATGTTTTATCTGTTACTTATGAAATTGTCATACCACTTAGTCTCTCTAGGATATCCAGTTCTTTTTAAATAGTTGTTTTTCTTCTCTTTTTATATCTTCTGTTAGTGTAGTTCTTGTTAAAATTTTCTTCAATTTCATATTAAATGTGTTCTTTTTAATATCTAAGGGGCAATAAGATTTGTAATTAATCATTTTACTGACATTGGACTTTTTTGTACTTACAAAATTGAAGCTTTTGTTTATTTTTTTTAACCCCTTAATAAATGCTATTAATTTTATAAAATTCTTAATAAACTGAAAAAAATTTAAATATATCAATTGTGATATTATTGATAATACAGCAATAAATTTTTAAATAATAACTGTTAACATTTTTGGATTACAGGGAGTCTCCCCCTTAATTTCTCCAGGGGGGATTTCTCAGAAATAGGCAAGATTTCCACAGTTTTTCCAAAATTTAGATCCTGAATAATTAATTAATTAACTAATTAATTATTCATTATTAAAGATTAAATATGTATTTATTAGGAAATTTTTGTACACCTACATAAAATGATCTACAGTAAACATGAAATTTGTGTTTATGATTCAAAGTTTCAAGCTATATTTTTGCCAGGTAGTATAAAATGCTAACGTAATTATAATTAATTACAGTAAATGTATAAACATATTTTACATTTACGGTAACTAAACCATTATAGAGGTATGAAAAAATCCCTACTGGAACATTATTAATTAATAAGATTGTTATTCAGTGCTGATCTTGTATAATTAATTACATTAGTAGTATTAATTAATACTGGAGTCAGCACTGAATAACTTATATAATTTTGAAATTAAAATTCTTATTATGATAAACAAAAATCAACTTTTATTCAGTAGAAACATGATTAAGGAATACTGTAATAAATTGTCCCAGTAAATTCATTGTTTATATACACACTATAATTTTTCATTTTAACATATAGTACATGTTAATTGTAGTTTGAAATCAAAGATAAAGAGTAACCGAGATCAGTTTGGAAAGAAATTATCATAGGAAACTAACATACAATAAAGAAACTATAAAGACAATATACCTTTGTAAAAAATTAAAAAATTTGATTTTAAATGAGAAATATATACCAAATTTTTGAACAACCCAAATGTCCAATATTGAAAGAAATAAAATAGATAGTAGTAACTCATTAATTGTTAACATTTTTGAATGCAAGGTTCCAAAAATTGCTGGTTATAATAGTAACCGAATACAGAAAAGGTTTCATTTATAAATTTTAGGTTAACAGATCTGATGAATACTTTGTCAGAGATTAACTGACTTAAATTTAACAGAAGTAATGTTTAATTATAATAAATGACAATGGTTTGTTGTTTGGGCAATTATTTATTGTCTATAGGTAATTAATTGGTGAATCACTAATTTAGACATTAAGAGTTTGTGTACTGTTATTTCTCAGCTATTGAAGTAAGAGTAATGATATGAAAGTTTGAGGAAACAAGATCTTTGGCAGTTAAATCTTGAAGATTGAGGTGGCAGAAGTTGTGACAACCATTCTTAATGGACCCTGAATAATGTTGTTAGTTCTAGCAATGCATGTAGTGTAGCATGGTTGCTGGTTATTTACAGTATGGAAGATTTACTTCAGAGTGAATATTTTTGGATGTTCTTGAGCAGTATGTTGCAGAGTTTATTTGATCTGGTTTTTCTGGAGAGACCAGGCCCATTTTTATTAGAATGGGATTGTAAACACCCAAGACAGTCAGATTTGGACTTTTGATGCTCCCAAGTTGTATAGCATGTTCTAATTCACTTGTTTAAAATCACCATTTGGTATGGTTTTACTGCAATTTTTATAACAGGATTGATTTTTTTTGAGGAAATTACCAAACAGTGATGTGCCTTTTTCTGCTGAGAAGTACTATGATATGGTTTATAGTTTCATTATTAGGCAACTACATAAATGAGGTTGTCTGAAAAGGAAAATTTTTATGCATGATGGAGTATCACTTTACATTGTACAATCATTGCAGCAGTTTCTGCAGCATTACTTTACTGAAGAAAGAATGATCAGCCACTTCTACTTGAATGTCCATGTCATTTTCCTAACATCACTCCATGTGATTTTTGGTTGTGGAGTACTGTAAAGCCAATATCTATCATGAAAGTGCTCTTAGCAGTCTTAAAGGACAAGATAACAATATATACAGAACATTTCTCCTGATACATTTCATTTAGCTGTTAAACACATTGACAGAATATAGTTTCAGATCCACAAAAATGGTGATTACATTGAACAGCATAAAATTCATCATAATTGAATAAGCTTTAATTTCATGTGTCATTTTGTTATATAAAAAATTTTATCATATATTTATAAAGTATGTATGCATCACTATAAATTCACTTTTCTTAAATATTGTTTGGCAATTTAAAATTTTGATTTTATTGAAATATTCAACATGCCCATGGTGGTATTGTTGTGTAGTAAGATAGGAGTGTCATTTAAGGCATACATCCTAATGCTGTTGCAGGGAACATTGGTCTCAGACTGAAATTCCTAAAAAGGATGTGAAGAAACTCTCCAACAGACAGAGCAACAGCATTCCGTAAGACAAACTTTGAAATTCAAAATTGTCTCATCATTATTATTATCAAGTAGGCCTAGTAAATAAATTTGGTATTGTTTAAATACAGTATATGCTTTTCATATATCATTTATAGATTTTAATGTATTTCCTTATGAAAAAATTTTCTAGTCTATGGTGCAGATATAAAAGTTTTTAGTTTTTGCATGTTCTACATCTTCAGAATATGTTTTTATATAAAAAATTAAATATGTTTATAGGATTCTCTTTAAACATATCTTTATACATTTCTACACAAATAGTTGTTAACTATATACCATAATTGTATTTAAAGTATTTTGTATTAGTGTTACAACATTAGTGTTACAAAATGTTTAAAATTATTTTTCTTAAATTTTAGCATAAATATAAAAAAAATACTATTCTTATCTACCTTGTTTAAATATGATCTAACTGCATAAAATAAAAATTTGTCTCAAATGTGTTTTTCAGACTGTCTCAGCATGTTCTAACAAAATAGATTTCAAATAAATATTACTTTACATTGAAAACTTAAAGCTGCATATTTAAATAAGGGGGTGAAATGAAGACTTCTGTGCCATTGTTTGTTTATAAATGTTGCACATGCTATTCTTTATAATATTTTTAGAATTTTAAAATTAATTGTACTTGAGTATTTCCCATGGGAAGAATTTTAAAATAACAGAAAAAATTATATTTTTGACTTCCATTAAACTTTTCCTTCTGAAATGCAGATTGGCTTACTATAATTTAAATAAATGCTTTTCTGAATTTATGTATTAAATTTTTCTAAATTTTACTGTCTAACTTAATTGACAGATAAAAAATATTTAATTAGCTTTTGTGTGAACAAATAATTTTAGAAATAAGTTTATTGAAGTTTTTTTGCATAGTAAATACAGTATTAGTTTTCATACTGCATATGCAATAGTATATCTACATAAAATTTAGTTCATTTTTATTTACAGTAGAGCCTCGATTATCTGACTCAATTGGGGACTGGGGTTGGTCGGATAATTGAAAAGTCGGATAACCGAAAAGTATGAAAAAATCCATTATTAGTGTAGTATATTATTATATCCCATGTAATTAGTATATTAGTATATCGCTATTAACCTACTTTGCATTGAATTTTCATCGATGTTAAGCCTAACAAAAACTTTTTAAAATAATAATCGTCGCTATTGTATCGTTAAAAATTATTTTTTATTTTGTACAAACAAAATAAATATATTGAAAAATATAAAAATAATAAAAAATTATACTTCAGATGTTAATTTAGTATCAAAAACGTAAAATATTTGAGTAGCCCAAGACATAGCCAAAGATTGAAGTGCCACAGCACTGGCGAAAATGTAAATTTGCTGACTGGAATTCTTTCAAATGATTGACTTTCGGAAAATCGACGCTCTACTGTATTTAGATTTCGTCAGTTATCATTATATTTTCTCAAAATATTCATTTTATGTTTTTGTTTTGTAGACATGATTTATCAATGATTTATTATGTATTTGTTGTGTTTTTTGTAAAACATAAACTGATTGCATATAAGTAGGTTTAACTAAGGCAAGTTTGAATTTATGAATGGAATGACTAATAAAAGGGAGGAGTTTAGCAGATATTGTATAATAATTTATAATTAGAAATTCAGATTATTTCTTTAGCTCAAAATGCTGCTAAGAGTCCTGTGGAAACAGTTATTTAATTTACAAGAACAAATTAAGAATTGTACTTATAATAATAGAAAATAGAGCAAATTTTTGTGTATTATTTTATCAATCATTAGTTCATTTGTTTTTATTCCAAAATATTGAAAATGAGATTTTTATAGCTGTTTATTTTTCTTAAAAATGCCAAGATTATTTTTAGTAAAATAGAAGAATGTCACAGGAATAGTTTGCTTATACAATTTTTAATTCAAATATTGAGTTAAAAATATTTGAAATTTTATTGACACATTAAAGTAGTGTTTTTTAAACTGGATACTTCAATACCTTGAGGCATGGGCATCCTGTGGGTGTGGCAAGCAGGTCATTTCTCTTACTGGATCAGCCCTTAATCCTTCTTATAGTCTGATTTATCTTAATTGAATTCTGATAATCTATGATTGTACTTACCAAACAAACCACCCTTTATCTGTAGGAACTCACTGTACTTGTCATCTCCACCACTATGCTATGAGGGCCCAAGAGTAGTATGATCTTAAGAAATCTTAAGACAGTGGGAGTATATTCCTTTGCTCTCTTGGAAAAGTTGCAGCAGATATCTATGCTTTGAGAAATTGTCTGTGCCCATGAAAGTATGTAAGGTGTTCCACAAGACAAAAGTGTGTAATGGCAAAGAATTTGATTGTCTTAAATTTACATATATTAATATATGACATTTAACATTAATCATTCAGCTACTGATAGTGTATGGGCATTACTACTACTGCTCCAGAAGTTTTTTAAAAGACAAATAATTGCTGGTATTATTCTATTTTTGATTTTTTTTTTGCAATTTGAAATACATAATTTTTTTAGGTGAAAGTACAAGGAACTTGTAGCTTGACTGGTAAGTCTGGGATATGTACAAGTGGCAATAGCAGTTTTCCAATAGATTTTATAAGTTTTCTAAGATTCCATGTGTTAAAATAGCTTGAGAACCATTACATTAGAAAATCTTTATTATGATTATTATTTANTCCTGCTATCGGGCTCCCCATTGGTACACCTCTTTTCTGTTGATATACCTCGTTTTTGAATTGAAAGAAAGAATTGTAGCACAATAAATGCGCTAACTCTAGTATATCTTGATGGTGGTTACTGTCCCCTATTATACTTATTAGCAAATCTCTTAATGCACAGAAGGCTGGTGGAAGGAGTAAAGAAGGGTATAATGATTTAAAATCTAACACAGTGAGGTACTGTGGGGGGGGTATTAATCCGCTTGAGTAGAGCTATGAGGTCAACACTGTTACTTATGTTAAACTGGTATTCTTCTAAATGGTGCATTTTCTCTTCTAGTTTGCGTGTTGGAGCCCGAATCTTATCCACTACAGGACAAATCTGTTTGCCTTCTTTGTGCGTTTTAGCAAACCCAAATAATTTGGGCGTGTCTGGAGAGTCTACAACTATGTTCTTTATATCTAACTTTTTCGCTAACTTGCTTTTGGAGAATCTCTTTACTCTAGCCTGTAGTTTTTCAACTGCGTTAGTGCCGCTTTTTTCACATTGAGTGATATTGATGTACTCCATAAGCAATTTCTCGTACGTCTGCTTCCTCATAATTACCATGGTTTTAGCTTTATCCGCTCTAATTATAGTGATGTCATTCGCTTTGGTCCATCTATGGGCTTTTGCTATTTTTGCTCTTAGTTCTTTTGACTCCACATCATTCTTTGCCTTTATTATTTTATGCACTGCCAACCATCTATAATATTCCTTACTTCTATCCGAGAGGCCTTGTATTAGGGCTTCTATGTCCGGGATATAACTCAGAGATCCAGTTATGGGTGGCAGTGGAGCGAATTTTGGGCCATAATGTAACATTTCAGACACAAAGTCAGGCACTTCTATGTCATCCCATATTATAAATGGGAAGGTAGGGCGACTCTTTTTCTTCGGTACCTGAAATCTCAGAATCCATTACAGCTTTCTACGATATCGTTTCTTGCATTTATTGTATAAATATTCATATTGCGGAACCAATCTTGCATTTTCTTCCATTAAGCGACTAGGATGCACTCTAAAGAGCTCATTTTCGATTTTAACGAGATCTGTTAAAATAGAATACATTCTTTTTCTTGTAGTTCGAACGCCCCTGTTCGTGCACATTATTTTAACCTTATTTAATAGAGGCTCGTTTCCGATAGGGAGGGAAATACAATAAATTGTCATTGGGTATACTCCCATATCTTTGCATTCTTTCAGAAATTCGAACATCACCCGGGTTTTGACTAGCTTAACTAGCGTTCTAAAGTACAGAATAGCCGGCATAGCTATTGAATAAATAATTCAGATTTCGAATAACATCGATTCTACCCGTTTCACCTGAAGAAGAACTAAGTTCGAAAACGTTAGTGGAAATATTTGGAAATAAGCACTGTTTTGGTTTACTGCAGAAGTAAGTCGTTGATCTGACTGCTTTATAGTTTATCAAATTACAACTTAATTTTGAAGTAATTTTGATTATGTAATTATTTTTTATCAAGATGACTCAAAATTTTGTGGAGAAGGAAAACTTTTTAATTTTTACTAAAATATTTGATATCTTTTAACATAAGATTATTTTTTAAATCACCTGTAAAATTATGTATTACTGTAATTTTGTAATAGTGAAGCTTTTATACAGTATAGTATAAAGAACTTTCAAGTCAGTTGAGAATGTGATAATTTTGTTGGTATAATTTAGAATAAAATTAGTGTATTAAAATCATTATTATTATATTCAAATACTTAGTTTATTTTACTGCTGATAACTAATAAAAAAAATTATACACCAACCAACATTCCAATACAGGTATACCTCGCCTTACGTCGGTAATTGGTTCCAGGAGAGGCGACTTAAGTCGAAAAACGACGTGAGTCGAATTTACTTGTCTCCGAACTTAATTGTCACTAGGCTAAACCACAAATAACCATTTCCAGTTCTGTATTTTATTTATAAATGCATTTTTAATAATATATTGTTAATAAGAAATATTTTAAGCTTACAAACAAATAAATTTTAGTTTTTAATATTGTACAGAAAAAAATAATCTAAATTTACAAATTCACGTACATACAATGCATACAGTACTTGTAAATGTACATGTTTACAATTTGGTGATGTTTACAGTACATCGCAGACTCGTTTTATTTGTGAATGTGGTTTGCTCTAAGACATTATAAAATAAGATCATTTTGTAAGGTTAAATAATAAATACAGTTATTAAAATTATCTTGCGACAGTAGAAAATAAACAAATTTATATTAAATTTACCAATAACGAGTAGCGCTGACAGCAATGCCAAACAGTAGATATTGGAACTACCATGGAAAACACCAATATTGAGCATTTAAAGACCAC